TATATCCTCCAAACACTGGCCTCGAGGGCATTATCACCTAAATAATGCACGCTCTAGAATGCCCTTCAAGCAAATCAGAAACAAGTATTCAACAATGCCTTGGTATAAATTGTTCTATTTCGCCTGAGGGATTATGCTAGTCACTCAGTGGGATATCCTTCTGCCTGGCGTCAGGATGAGTCGAGATACACTACATGACCAAAAGTATATGGACACGTGCTCGTTGAACATCTCATTCCAAAATCATGGGCATTAATATGAAGTTGGTCCCCCCTTTGCTGCTATAACAATCTCCACTCTTCTGGGAAGGCTTTGCACTAGATGTTGGAACATTGCTGAGAGGACTTGCTTCCATTCAGCCACAAGAGCATTAGTGACGTCGGGCACTGACGTTGGGCGATTAGGCCTGGCTCGCAGTCGGAGTTCCAATTCATCCCAAAAGTGTTTGATAGGGTTGAGGTCAGGGCTCTTGTGCAGGCCAGTTAAGTTCTTCCACACCGATCTCGAATGTCTAGAATGTCATTGTATGCTGTAGCATTAATATTTTCTTTCACTGGAATTAAGGGGACCGAACCATGAAAAACAGCCCCAGACCATTATTCCTGCTCCACCAAACTTTACAGTTGGCACTATGTATTCGGGCAGGTAGCATTCTCACGTGATCTGCCAAACCCAGATTTGTCCGTCGGACTGCTAGATGGTGAAGCGTGATTAATTACTCCAGAAAACACGTTTCCACTGCTCCAGAGTCCAATGGCGGCGAGCTTGATACCACTCCAGCCGACGCTTGGCATTGTGCATGGTGATCTTGTGTGCGGCTGCTCGGCCATGGAAACCCATTTCATGAAGCTCTCGACGAACAGTTATTGTGCTGACGTTGCTTCCAGAGGCAGTTTGGAACTCGGTAGTGAGTGTTGCAACCGAGGAAAGACGGTATGCGCTTCATTATTCTGTGAGCTTGTGTTGCCTACCATTTCACGGCTGAGTCGTTGTTGCTCCTAAAGTTTCCACTTCACAATAACACCACTTACAGTTGACCGGGGCAGCTCTAGCAGGGAAGAAATCTGACGAACTGACTTGTTGGAAAGGTGGCATCCTATGACGGTGCCACTTTGAAAATCACTGAGCTCTTCAGTAAGGACATTCTACTGCCAATGTTTGTCTATGGAGATTGCATGTCTGTGCGCTCAATTTTATACACCTGTCAGCAACGGGTGTGGCTGAAATAGCCGAATCCACTCATTTGAAGGGTGTCCATATACTTTTGTATATACAGTGCATTCCGAAAGTATTCAGACCCCTTCACTTTTTTTACATTTTGTTACGCTACAGCCTTATTCTAAAATGGATTAAATAGTTTTTTCCCCCTCATCAATCTACACACAATACCCCATAATGACAAAGTGAAAACAGGTTTATTTTTGCAAATGTGTTAAAATAACAGCTACCTTATTTACATAAGTATTCAGACCCTTTACTCAGTACTTTGTTGAAGCACCTTTGGCAACGATAACAGCCTCAAGTCTTCTTGGGTATGATGCTACAAGCTTGGCACACCTGTATTTGGGGAGTTTCTCCCATTCTTCTCTGCAGATCCAGAAGCTCTGTCAGGATGGATGGGGAGCGTCGCTGCACAGCTATTTTCAGGTCTCTCCAGAGATGTTCGATCGGGTTCATCTCCGGGTTGTGGCTGGGCTACTCAAGGACATCCAGAGACATCCCGAAGCCACTCCTGCGTTGTCTTGGCTGTGTGCTTAGGGTCGTTGTCTTGTTGGAAGGTGAACCTTCGCCCCAGTCTGAGGTCTTGAGCGCTCTGGAGCAGGTTTTCATCAAGGACCACTCTGTACTTTGCTCCGTTCATCTTTCCCTCCATCCTGACTAGTCTCCCAGTCCTTGCCGCTGCAAAAACATCCTCACAGCATGATGCTGCCACCACCATGCTTCACCGTAGAGATGGTGCCAGATTTCCTCCAGATGTGACGCTTGGCATTCAGGCCAAAGAGTTCAATCTTGGTTTCATCAGACCTGAGAATCTTGTTTCTCATGGTCTGAGAGTCCTTTTAGCAAACTCCAAGCAGGCTGTCGTGCCTTTTACTGAGTTCTGTCTGGCCACTCTACCATAAAGGCCTGATTGGTGGAGTGCTGCAGAGATGGATGTCCTTCTGGAACGTTCTCCCATTTCCACAGAGGAACTCTGGAGCTCTGTCAGAGTGACCATCAGGTTCTTTGTCACCTCCCTAACCAAGGCCCTTCTCCCCCGATTGCTCAGTTTGGCCAGGCGGCCAGCTCTAGGTAGAGTCTTGGTGGTTCCAAACTTCTTCCATGTAAGAATGATGGAGGCAAATGTGTTCTTGGGGACCTTCAATGCTGCAGACATTTTTTGGTACCCTTCCACAGATCTGTGCCTCGACACAGTCCTGTCTCGGAGCTCTACGGACAATTCCTTCGACCTCATGGCTTGGGTTTTGCTCTGACATGCACTTTCAACTGAGGGACCTTATATAGACAGGTATGTGCCTTTCCAAATCATGTCCAATCAATTTAATTTACCACAGGTGGACTCCAATCAAGTTGTAGAAACAGCTCAAGGATTATCAATGGAAACAGGATGCACCTGAGCTCAATTTCGATGTCTCATAGAAAAGGGTCTGAATACTTATGTAAATATTAAATTATTTTTAACACATTAACAAAAATAAAAAATAAACCTGTTTTCGCTTTGGCATTATGGGGTATTGTGTGTAGATTGATGAGGGGGAAAAAACTATTTAATCCATTTTAGAATAAGGCTGTAACGTAACAAAAAGTGAAAAAAGTGAAGGGGTCTGAATACTTTCCGAATGTATTAATATCAGAGTAATTCCGTGCCACGGGTGTGATGCGCGTGCCCCCACCCCCTATAAATACCTGGGCGCGTAGCATCACTTACTCTTTTCTTTCCTCGGCTATGCAGGTGAGCGAGAAGTGGATGTAGAAGACTCCATAGGTGAGTCTTTCATTGAGTGTGTGTGGAGTATACTCCATTTTGGGTGAAGCTTGCTCCTCCCAGGAGTGCTCTTTAGTGTTTTGTCGTCTGTTACATTTTTTCGTACAGATCTACACCGTGCTACGAAGTAGGCTGAACGGGTTGGGCCAACCTGTTCACGGTGCAAGGCTTAGTTGTCTTGTCTGTGTCTGCCCGCTGTGTTAGCCTCCCGGCTAATTGCATTAACTGTTGCTTGTTAGCTTCAGCAGGACGCTATCCTCTTCTCTCTGGAGTTTGAGGCTGGGTATCGCGCTTACCCTGGCTAGGGACTCTGTGTGTTATCTAGCTCGAGCTAAACACCATTGCTCTCCAGAAGTAGGATGATGATCTCCAAGTTGCACCTTAACGTCCAGGCTTCACATCCTAGCTAGCATACTCTCTTACTGGCTCGCGCTTCAGCTGTTGCTGCCGGAGTGTTATTCAGAGCACACGTGCCTGTCTTGGCCAGTGTGTTCTCAGGACATCTCCGGGGATTGTGAGTTGTGTTGGGTTCTATTTTTCTCATAATTGGATCTGTATGTGATGAATAGCTTAGAAGGAATGCATTAGTTTGAACTGTACTGATATAAATTGTTTCACATAAAAGGCTGTTATTCATGTGGGGAACATTAGGGGCTAGGATGAGATAAGACTTGTATTTCTCACAGATACGAACACTCTCTCTTTGTTGTCTGTGAAACCGTCCTTGAACGTGGGTACATGGAGTACAGTGGAATGGTGTCTTTTGGGTGCTGACTCCGCAGGTTATTATGCCTGGGAACGGTGGAGCGCCAAGGGGTGGGACTAACCCGTGAACCAACGGATTGGCTGAGTAAAGTCTAAACCACACTCAGTCCTTTACTCTGATTGGCCAACAGAAGAGGTGGGAACTATCTGTCAGAGTATTTGAGAAAAGTTTTTTAGTTCTCTGAGTGCCCTGCGTGGTATTTCAGTGGACCCGTATATACGAACCTTCATACTTATCATACATACATTTTGCATATAATAAATTAAGCTTGGATTGAAGATCTCTTGATTCTTATTCCAATACCAGATTTGAATTACGCAATTTCTAACAGTTGAATTTCTCGAATATATTCTGATATCCATAGAATATATTATTACTTAATTCACATATTGCCCTGAGAACAGAACTCATTTATTATTACTCCTGGTATAGTATTAAAGGGGTGTTATGCAGATTATCTGGTCTATAAGACATATCTGCATTTCTGCTTCTGTCTAGACAGGGACAAGATTATCCATGCCACACTACTGCGATAAATGCAATACTGGCTTGGCTTCGGCTGATGCCCATTCTACCTGTATGATGTGCCTAGGCTTAGAGCATGTCATTCAGGCTGTGGATTTCTCCTTCAGCTGCATGTATTGTGCTAATCTTGGCCCATGCCTTTGTGAAACACGATTAGCTATGATGAAGGACACAAATGATAGAGGCTCCGGGTGCGGTCTCAAGCGTAAACAACCCTCCTTAGCGGCGGGCCCGTCCACCAAGCAGTCCAAGAAGGACAGGGGACCTACTCTGGATGAGGTGGAGGCCCAGGCAGCCTCTCTGTCCTCATAGCTCCACTCTCTCAGCCCGACAGGCTCTGTTGAAGACTTATGTCTCAAGCAAGTGCAAGCCTTGGAACTTCATGGCTTCTCCCGAGGAGTTGGGACTGGACCAGACCCCATTGTTGCAGCCATGGTCCTCCCAGACAAGGACCTCATCGGGATACTGACAACCACTTAAAGGACACCTTCCTGACCTTGGCCATGGTGGCTCGCCTCATGAATGCGACCCCTCTGCTGCAGGCATACGTGCACGGTCTGATAGCTCGCCTGTCCACTGACGATGACACTGAGCTGACGGCTGAATTTGACTCAGGTGTCTACACTCCTCTCCATCTTAAATGCTGAGATGTCAAGTGCTAATGGCAAAGCCCTGTCTACTGTTATCTCATCACGCAGACCGCTTTGGCTCTCACAGACAAAGATGTCGGCCTCCATGAAGAAACCCTTTATGAAGCTCACCATCTCCCCAGGCCAAGTTTTTGGTCCTGGTGTGGACGCCATTTTGGACCAAACGGCGAAGCTGCGGAAGGACAGAGAGACCCTGCAGTCTTTCATGAGTCCCACGTTACCCTACCCAGAGACAATTGCAGTCTAGACCTAAGCTCTCCCCTGCCTTGAAAGGCCGCTTGAGCCCACCCCCAAACCAGCCATGCCCTGATCAGCCACGTCAACAGGCTCTGGAACAGCAGTGGCGCCACCACCAGCACAGGCAGCGGCATAACAAGCACCAACCCTCTGCTCCGAAGAAGGACGGGCCCCCTCAGTCATCCTGATGGGTGTGGCCCCGGCTTCGGCAAAGTGGGAGGGGCTTGTGGAGTCCCCTTGAGTGCTGGATACAGTACTACAGGGGTACAAACTCCAGTTCTGATGCTGGCCACCACAGTTCCGAGGGGTTTGGTCAACTACAACAGCCTACCCCATGAAAAGAGAAGCTCTCCAACTGGAGATTTCCTCCCTGCTGGAGAAGAATGCAATCATACAACTCGAACTATCAGAATAGCACAGTGGGTTCTATGGAGTATATTTCCTATAGTCCCCAAGAGGGATGGCAGCTTTCGCCCCATTCTGGACTTGAGGCCACTCAACCGGTGCTTGAAAACCCTCCCCTTCAAGATGCTATCTCCATCCCGCATCCTACAGGCTATCAGCCCAGGCCAGTGGTTCACCACTGTCGACCTAAAAGATGCCTACTTCCACGTACCGATCCACCCGGCTCACAGGAAATTCCTACGCTTTGCCTTCAATGGCATAACGTACCAACACTTACCTTTCGGCCTCTCCCTGGCACCAATAACATATACAAAACGCATCGATGGCGCTCTAGCACCCCTAACATCACAAGGGATGATAGTATTAATTTACCTAAACGACTGGCTAATCTGCACTCAGTCACGAGAACAGGCAGCAGCAGACACGACATCTCTCCTGAAGCACATCTCAGAGCTTGGCCTCAGGTTGAACATTTAAAAAAGCCACCTGGTCCCCACACAAACTGTAATGTTCGTGGGCATGCAGATCGACTCGTCTCCAATGAGGGCTCAACTCACAGAAGAGCGAGTCCAGAAAATTGTAGTTTACCTCAATCCTTTTGTCCAAGACCAGAAGGTGACTGTTCTTCAGAGTCAGAGACTGATGGGTCTCCTCTCCGCAGCCTCTCTTTTGACCCCATTGGGCCTTCTACACTTGAGACCCCTGCAGAGGTGGTTAAATGCTCAGGGTTTACATCCCAAGGAACACAGGTATTGTCGCCTGACTGTGTCCAAGGAATGCACAAGAGCACTGGCAAGATGGCGATCCCTTAAATTCCTTTCAGGCGGGATACGCCTGGGCAAAGTCCATTGGAGGGAACTAGTTCAAACAGACGCCTCCTTGACCGGTTGGGGAGCAGTATTGAGGGGGAGGGCGGCCAGCGCGATAGAGTACATGGTAAGCCCCTCTCAAAACAATGGTTGTCACATTGGATTGTACTACCTCAAGCATTGCTAGTGGCACCAGCCCCCTCCGCACTGGGCAAAGTTGAACAGTTTAACGACTCGACCTGTTAGCTGGAACAATTAAAGAATGTAATAACTATGTTCTTCAATTCTCTAGACACTGTGGGAGGGAGGCCAATACAAACTCCGAATGCTGTTCAAAGATGACTATCCTTCCTCGCCGCCAAAATGTGAGTAAACCTGCACATGGGTACCTCAATAGGAAAGTGTTGTCACTGTCTGATCCATTTGTTGGCTGTTGGATAAGATTATTACATAATATCTATGTGCAGTAGGGATGTGACAAATTGACAATTTTTCTTAACATTTAAACAGCCATTTGGGGGAGAGGTCTGTTTAAACTATTTAAAAAATCATAAAATTCCACGTGTATTCAGATGGTCTACATCGTGCTTCCTGCAGGGGGAGAGAGAGGAAGTTGTCATGCTGTTCTTGCTTTCATCGGGACCTATTAGTGGTAGTTTTGTGATAACTACACTTTGATTTATATTTTGTGAAAAACAAAACAGTTAGGGTTTTTTCTTAACTTTAACAATCCCAACTTTATTTAAACATTTTAACACCCCTAATGTGCAGTGTGTTGTTCCTAGTAATTTTTTATATCGATGATAAGGAAGTCAACAGAAATCATCTATTCTATTTCCTCTCAGGCAAGTTTGAGCCACCCATTTTCCACCCCAATGTCTACCCATCTGGCACGGTGTGTCTTTCCATCTTGGAGGAGGAGAAGGACTGGAGGCCAGCCATCACCATCAAACAGGCACATATATATATATACACACACACACATAAACACACATAATCACACACACAAACAATTGGAGAGGTATCAGTGATTTCACCGGTTTGGAGGAATGCACGACATTGGCTCAACAGGCATCAAAATACTGTATTTTTTATGTGGATCAAAGCATGGTACTCCCCGGTCGAGTGATTGTGTTCTGATCTGCGTTGTTTTGTATTTCAATCCATTCTAAAAGCTGACTTCATCTGTTTTGTATTCACAGATCCTGTTGGGTATCCAAGAGCTTCTCAATGAACCCAACATCCAAGACCCAGCACAAGCAGAAGCCTACACAATTTACTGGTGAGTTCTTCTCTTTTTGAATGTTCTACTGTATAATTGATACTGGTAAAGGGGCACTTAGTGTGCTTTATAAGACACTTGCAAACATACACAATCTCACTTTGTTAAACTGAAAAGTATAACCTTGTTAGGTGATACTCAATTTCATAATGGACTAATCCCCCTTTGTTGCCTCTTTTAGTCAGAACAGAATGGACTATGAGAAGAGGGTGAGGGCGCAGGCCAAGAAGTTTGCCCCCACATAAAGCTCAGCTGACCATCTACCTGAGAAGCTTGATACAACACCTGGGTACTGAACAGCAAGCAGCACTTAGAGGACCAATCCAATGATCAATCTACAATTTGATGTTCTTCTTTACATGAGAAAAATGTAATTTAGCCTACATGAGAGCTGTTTTAAAACAAAAATCATATTTTTGTCCAAAATACTTTTGTTTTGCCTAGTTCACTTCTAAAACATGCCTAAATCACATGCCTAAAACACTTTCATATAATTTAATAAGACACCATTTGCATTTGTGATCTGTAAATCAGGATGCTACTTTGCCTGATATTAAGTCTTATCAAATAGCCATAAGGTTTAATAACAAATAATTTCAAATTGCGGTGTATGATACATCATTTTGAAACTGAATCTGTACTAAAATAAATTATCAAAAAAACAAATAGAAAATCAACAAAACGTAAGGGAGCCTTATTTTTCCAAATGTCTGGTCACATTGAATTTTATTGTAGATTTTATTGGGATGCCCCTTTAATAAGGTGGATGTCAGACCTGAGAATGTGCTGCATAGAGAGCTGAAGAGGTTTACCTCCAAAGACTTGAGTGTATGTACATAATATAAATATTTAGGTCCATATGGATCTTATGTTATTTTCTATTGTTTTAGCAAGTTGATATTTTGTGTGGTATTAAAAGTAATGAACACATTTTAAATGTAAGAATTGTGAAATAAAGTTAATTGAATGGAAAATACAAAACTGTTTGTCCTTTAATTTTCTTTGCTGACATTTGAATTTGTTTTTGGCTGTGTGTGGGAAATGTACAGGATATGAGTCTATTTAGTAGGGTAGGCTTTATTTAAACTGTTATGAGGGAGGTATACGTTTTTATTTTTTCTGTGGTGGTGTTGTATTGGATAACTGACTGACCTTTAGCGCTGAAAATGGAGTTCAAATTTGAGGTAATGCGCTCTACACTGTATCGGAGTCCCCTTCACGTAACTACCTTTTAGGATAATTATGACATCATTATCCAGATAACGTGTTACTCCTCACGCTTATTGCACAATGCGTGGGAATCAGAAAAATCTTGATTTATTGAGGTAAGGTAGCCGCAGGATCGCAAAAATACACAGTGACTGAGGCTCTGAACCGAAGCACAGATGTAAGTATATTTAGGTTGTAACTTTTCCCACAAAATAATATAAAATGTAATTTCTCACTTACGGACATTCTATGTAATGCCCCTTACACGTGATAATTAAACGTCAACAATGGTTATCGTAGTCCACATGTCCCAGCTACAATGTATTCATGTCAGGAAAATAAGGTTGTCACATTTTTCTGCTTTGGTTTAGGCTATGTCCTAATGAGGGTGAGATTATATATTTGAACGCTAATGCGGACACTTGTGTAACAGAATAAATAGGCCTAGTCCTTCAGCGTCCCAGTATTCTGTAAATTAGCGATTTTGAAAGTAGACGCACCTGTCAGTTGTGCAAATGTAATCTTATCCGCGGGAGGGCAGCACAAGATAATTCTCTGTTGCATTCACATTAACCTTTTGAGTGCCAAATAGTCCTATTGAAAGCCAATACTCTGTCAAACAGTTACTATAAATCTAGTAACGTATTTTAATTTCTATTTATGGATTTATCATATGTTGATTTGTTATGGCTCATGGTTGCCCAAATGTTTGTGCATCATTAGATTTATTATAAATGAGTTTATAATGCTGCATCTTTTGATGGAACACTGGACAGTGAATGTTGACATGGGAAACCTGCAGGACTGTACCAAGAACAAGAACACTTGTGGTCAGGCAGTGCATTCTTTAGTTCTGTTCTCTGTTTACATTACCTAGAATCCTCTTCGCAGCTCTCGTTTGTTAGTCAAGGCAATGACCTCCACGGGCCAGCCAGAGACAACAGTTGGAGACAAGCCGCAGGTCAGTAGCGTAGGAGGGGTGGAATAATTCAGTTGATATCCCAAAACTTGGTATTCCACCACAACCTATGCACACTACAGAGCTCTCAATTATATTTTTGCAACTCTGTGTGTGTGTGTGTATGTGTGTGTGTGTGTGTGTTGAAGGTGAGCGTTTTAGCATGCCCGGAGGTTCCTCCTCTCTTGCTGCCTCACTACACTGACACAGGGTCAGTCTTCGTCCATCCCCACTGTTCCTACCACAGCCTGGGACACTGTCTGCGCACAAACATTTTTCCAGGTCAGTGTTGCACCAGGTCATTGTTGGGCATCCCTCATTCAGTATGATAACAAAGTGGATTATCAGCACAGGCAGTGACATATACAGTCAAGGATTGCTGTTCCTCTGTTTAATGGTCATGTTCTTTTCTTTTCTTTTCCTGTCCATGCTTCTATTCTATTCTATTCTTTCCAGGAGCTCCTCTGGTGTGGAAGTCCCTGGTAAAAGAGTCCTACATCGGTCACCCCTTGCCCGCTCCTCCTACAGACCCCCAGCGTTGGTACGGCCGCAGGACTGATGACATGGGTGAGTGACCTGCTGCTAATGCCACTTATTGCTATATCAGCAACTATTACTACCACTACTATTACCACTCCTAGTAGTACTATGAATACAAATAGTGCTACATTATTCATAATATGCTTTGAGTGCAATAAATGATAAACGCCTCATTAATAAGGTTTCAGGTATGGAGGATAATAATAGCTAGATAATAAGCTAATAATAAACACAACTTATTTGATTACTACTACCAATGATATGACTACTAGCACTATCCTTGCTACATCCACTTAAACCCAAACTCCCTTTTCATTCTCCCTCCTTTCATTTGTTCTTTCATAGTGAGATGGACAGAAAGAAACATTGTGAACCAGAAGTTGAACAAGGCACTAAAGGCAATGGAGAACAAGGGGTCTAAATGAGGCCATGGTGCAGTGGCCATTTCACACCCTCACCGCAGCGCCCATGCACTCTCCACATCATTTACACCCCTTTTTACACATATATCTACATGCAAGCCCTTACAACACCTTTCTGGTACGCTCGCTCACCGTTGCTCATGCATGCACGCACACGCACATGCACACACACACCCATTGCCACAAACTCTCAGAAGTACAAAAACAACCCACGCACTAGCTCCTGACCTCTAAACACATTCCAACACATTTTAATGTAGATACAAGTTCATGATCTCTCTTTTAACACAATAAAATCAGAACAGCATCCCTTAGTTATCTGATTTTCTGTGTATTGTAAGCCTCACTTATTCTGAGGGGATGAATTCTTAGCTGTCATCAAAAAATCTACTCATATTTCTGAAAGTGATTGTCGGTTAAACCAGCAACCTAAAATAGCATCTATCGATATTCAGATAAGACGGTAAAATGTAAATACAGTTTTCCCAACAAATGAAGATTACATAAACCACAATTAGGTGGTTACCACATCAACCAAGGTTTCTTTTGAGGTTGGAAAGTTGTAGTAGCAGCTTTGAAGTTTTCTTCATGTACATTTTGAAGTAATATTGAAGTAGATATTTGCACAAATCTCAAATGTACATGCAAGTAGCTATAATCCACCTGACCATATTATCATTGAAGTTGCTCAAATGACAATAATAAGAAACGGATGAAATGAATGAAACTGGAAAGAATAAAAAAGCTCAAAGGATGACAACAGTTGGAGGGGATTTTTGTCTCGGATGTCTTTTTACCATGAACAAGTAGCAGACTAATGTAAAGTGGCAGCATCACTGCCGAGGTTTCAACGACAAACCACAGAAACTGTCTTTTTGTCACAACCTCATCTCTCTCTTTGTTGTCGTGTTTGGTCTAGAGACTATAGTAATATCCATACTGGGGCTTTAGAGGATCAAAGAGGTGCTTTTTGAAATTATACTCATTCACCTTACTCACTCAACAACAACAAATAAACTGTCATACTGAGGCCAGTGGAAGTAATACTGAGATGTTGGGGGGGGGGGGGGGGGGGGGGGTTGTCCGTCATGTTACTCTTACATATTTCTTGATGACTGTGGTGTCAGATTAAGGAAATTACCTATCTATATATCTAAAGGACCAGTCAAAAGTGGACACACCTACTCATTCAAGGGTTCGTCTTTATTTTTTAATATTTTCTACATTGTAGAATAATGGTGAAGATGTCAAAACAATGAAATAACACATATGGAATCATGTAGTAGCCAAAAAAGTGTTAAACAAATCAAAATATATTTTATATTTGAGATTCTTCAAAGTAGCCATCCTTTGCCTTGATGACAGCTTTGCACACATTCAATCTCTGGCAAGGTTGCTGGTTCAAAGCCACCTTCCACTTTTTTCTACAATATAATGTTTTAAAAGTACACTACATGACTAAAGGTATGTGGACACCTACTCGTCGAACATCTCATTCCAAAATCATGGACATTAATATGGAGTTGGTCCCCCCTTTGCTGCTATAAGAGCCTCCACTCTTCTGGGAAGGCTTTCCACTAGATGTTGTAACATTGCTGCATGGACTTGCTTCCATTCAGCCACAAGAGCATTAGTGAGGTCGAGCACTGATGTTGGGCGATTAGGTCTGGCTCGCAGTCGGCGTTCCAATTCATCCCAAAGGTGTTCGATGGGGTTGAGGATAGGGCTCTTGTGCAGGCCAGTAAAGTTCTTCCACACCGATCTCGACAAACCATTTCTCTATGGACCTCGCTTTGTGCACAGGGGCATTGTCATGCTGAAACAGGAAGGGCCTTCCCCAAACTGTTGCCACAAAGTTGGAATCACAGAATTGTCTAGAATGTCATTGTATGCTGTAGCGTTGAGATTTCCCTTCACTGCAACTAAGGGGCCTAGCCCAAACTATGAAAAACAGCCCCAGATCATTATTCCTCCTCCACCAAACTTTACAGTTGGCATTATGCATTTGGGCAGGTAGCGTTCTCCTGGGATCTGCCAAACCCAGATTTGTCCGTCGTGTTGCCAGATGGTGAAGCGTGATTCATCACTCCAGAGAACATGTTTCAACTGCTCCAGAGTCCAATAGCGGCAAGCTTTACACCACCCCAGCCGGCGCTTGGCATTGCGCATGGTGATCTTAGGCGTGTGCGGCTGCTCAGCCATGTAAACCCATTTTATGAAGCTCCCGACGAACAGTTATTGTGCTGACGTTGCTTCCAGAGGCAGTTTGGAACTCGGTAGTGAGTGTTGCAACCGAGGACAGACAATTTTTATGCGCTTCAGCACTCGCCGGTCTCATTCTGTGAGCTTGTGTGGCCTACCACTTCGCAGCTGAGCGGTTGTTGCTTCTAGACGTTTCCGCGTCACAATTACAGCACTTACAGTTGACTGGAGCAGCTCTAGCAGGGCAGAAATTTGACGAACGGCCATGTTGAAAGTCACTGAGCTCTTCAGTAAGGCCATTCTACTGCCAATGTTTGTCTACGGAGATTGCATGGCTGTGTACTCGATTTTATACACCTGTCAGCAACGGGTGTGGCTGAAATAGCTGAATCCACTAATTTGATGGGGTGTCCACATACTTTTGTATATGTAGTGTACAGTGGGGAAAAAAGTATTTAGTCAGCCACCAATTGTGCAAGTTCTCCCACTTAAAAAGATGAGAGAGGCCTGTAATTTTCATCATAGGTACACGTCAACTATGACAGACAAAATGAGGAAAAATAATCCAGAAAATCACATTGTAGGATTTCTAATGAATTTATTTGCAAATTATGGTGGAAAATAAGTATTTTGTTAATAACAAAAGTTTCTCAATATTTTGTTTTATACCCTTTGTTGGCAATGACACAGGTCAAACGTTTTCTGTAAGTCTTCACAAGGTTTTCACACACTGTTGCTGGTATTTTGGCCCATTCCTCCATCCAGATCTCCTCTAGAGCAGTGATGTTTTGGGGCTGTCGCTGGGCAACACGGACTTTCAACTCCCTCCAAAGATTTTCTATGGGGTTGAGACCTGGAGACTGGCTAGGCCATCTAGGACCTTGAAATGCATCTTACGAAGCCACTCCTTCGTTGCCCGGGCGGTGTGTTTGGGATCATTGTCATGCTGAAAGACCCAGCCACGTTTCATCTTCAATGCCCTTGCTGATGGAAGGAGGTTTTCACTCAAAATCTCACGATACATGGCCCCATTCATTCTTTCCTTTACACGGATCAGTCGTCCTGGTCCCTTTGCAGAAAAACAGCCCCAAAGCATGATGTTTCCACCCCCATGCTTCACAGTAGGTATGGTGTTCTTTGGATGCAACTCAGCATTCTTTGTCCTCCAAACACGACGAGTTGAGTTTTTACCAACAAGTTATATTTTGGTTTCATCTGACCATATGACATTCTCCCAATCCTCTTCTGGATCATCCAAATGCACTCTAGCAAACTTCAGACGGGCCTGGACATGTACTGGCTTAAGCAGGGGGACACGTCTGGCACTGCAGGATTTGAGTCCCTGGCGGCGTAGTGTGTTACTGATGGTAGGCTTTGTTACTTTGGTCCCAGCTCTCTGCAGGTCATTCACTAGGTCCCCCCGTGTGGTTCTGGGATTTTTGCTCACCATTCTTGTGATCATTTTGACCCCACAGGGTGAGATCTTGCGTGGAGCCCCAGATCGAGGGAGATTTCCTAATAATTGCTCCCACAGTTGATTTATTCAAACCAAGCTGCTTACCTATTGCAGATTCAGTCTTCCCAGCCTGGTGCAGGTCTACAATTTCGTTTCTGGTGTCCTTTGACAGCTCTTTGGTCTTGGCAATAGTGGAGTTTGGAGTGTGACTGTTTGAGGTTGTGGACAGGTGTCTTTTATACTGATAACAAGTTCAAACAGGTGCCATTAATACACGTAACGAGTGGAGGACAGAGGAGCCTCTTAAAGAAGAAGTTACAGGTCTGTGAGAGCCAAAAATCTTGCTTGTTTGTAGGTGACCAAATACTTATTTTCCACCATAATTTGCAAATAAATTCATTAAATATCCTACAATGTGATTTTCTGGAAAAAAAAATCTCAATTTGTCTGTCATAGTTGACGTGTACCTATGATGAAAATTACAGGCCTCTCTCATCTTTTTAAGTGGGACAACTTGCACAATTGGTGTCTGACTAAATACTTTTTTCCCCCCACTGTATCTTATTTTCAGTAAATGTGGTGTCACGGTGTCGGCCGAGGCTGCTTCTCCTCCTTGTTCGGGCAGGCTTCAGCGGTCGTCGTCTCCGGAGTACTAGCTGCCACCGTTCTATGTTTCGATGTTCGTTTGGTTTGGTCTGTTTGTACACCTGTTCTTTGTTAGTGTTGATTATGTGCCCTATAAGTTCTCTTAGGTTTTGTCATGTGTTGTGTGTAATTGTTTTGTGTCAGCTAGGCGTCAGTTTGTTCTCTCTCGTTCTGTTTTGTTTTGAAGAGAGTGTCCGCACTGTGTGCGCAGTTTGGGTTACGCACTGTTTTCTGTGTGCGTAATTTTTCGCTTGCCCTCCGGTTGGGATTTTGCCGTGAGTCTTTTGTATTGTTTTGATCCTCACTAAAGACTGTTGAAGAGCCTCTGTTGTCCTGCGCTTGATTTCTGCACCACATCTACGCTCAGTCCTTGACTTGTGGTTGTCACAAGCACTTCCATTATTAGCCCAGACGTGACTTTTCACTCTATTAAAAAAAAAAAAAAAAATTAACCAAGTACAGTGCATTCGGAAAGTATTCAGACAACTTACCATTTTCCACATTTTGTTACGTTACAGCCTTATTCTAAAATGTTTTAAATTAAACAATTTCCTCATCAATCTACACACAATACCCCATAATGACAAATCGAAAACTGTTTTTTAGAAACTTTTGCAAATGTATAAAAAATTAAAAACATAAATACCTTATTTACATAAGTATTCAGACAATTTGCTATGAGACATCGAAATTGAACTCA